CCCCCCCCCCTCTCCTCACCCCCACCCCTATGTAAGATGGCGAGGAGGGTGACAATCGATATGTCAAAAATTTATCCGACTCTGTTACACTGACCGGTGGGAGTAGCCACTTATAAACTTGATGGTCCACAAGTGGAGTGAGAGGCTGGCGTGAAGACCCTCTACATTTCCCTCTCCCCATTCCTCTTGGGCTCTGTCGCTCCTCTGTCTTCCGGCCAGCTAGATGGCACAAGGAAATTGTGGAGGGGGAAAATGAATATGTATTCAATAGCTCTGTGGGAATCTCGAGAAGAAAGGAGGAAATTTCACAATACAATCAACAACTGCTTTAATAACTTTTTTTCATTCCAAAGGTTTTCACACCTGTGAAGTACATTTTAATAGTCAACAAGGACTTAACAAACAGTTTTTAACTTGCGTAAAATATCCAACTACAAAATACAGTCTTAATAAAGCGAACAATCTATGAATTTCATAAGAAAATATGATTTGTTTAAAGTCTTCCTAGGTAAGACCAAAACTTAATTATTGCTATTCCAATATCAATGTATACTTTGTAACATTTTTCAACGTTTTAGCCCATGGCATTCTAACAATCACTTAACTTTATAACAACACTCTGTTCCCTGCACTTGTCTCTTTTTTTAAAGTAAATTGAATTTCATGTAGCCTGTGTAGAGTGCTTCACTCTGGCTACATAGGTTAATTTCATGTGGCATACAGAGAATAGGAACTTTATCATTTGATGTTAGACATTTAGTTTTTTCAGTAATAAAATACTGTTCTATACATTAAATAGAGTTTAGCACGTACAATGAAGGCAAAATTCAAAACTATCAAAAGCCTACAAAATGAAAACTAAGCATGTACATGTTTAGATCAAATAGGCAAACATTAAACTCAGGACTCAAAAAAAACCTTGAATTCCAGCTTGCCCTTGGGATAAGTAGCTCTTAAAGTTTGCTTGCCCTGGCAAGTCATAGTTTGATCTTTTAATGATTTATTTGTCAGACGACTTGCCTGATCCCTTGCCCATGGGGCAAGTACGAGTGAAAAGTCACTTGCCCAGTTCTAAGGAGAATCTACTTGTCCCAGATGACCAGATGGCACTTTTTTCGAGGCCTGTAAACTTAAAAGTAGTTTTGAAACCTTTAAGTACGTGTAATATAGCTCATATTTTTATATGTTCATATTTTCATATTTGCAGTAAATATCAGAAGTATTTTAAGTATCATAAATGTTGACCAATCCCTGTTGGGATGTACATGTATTGTTTCTCAAAGATTCCTTACAGTGAAAACACATATACTTCTTTTCTTGTGGATAGCATTAGTTGGCACATGAGCTTGGTTTCTGAAACAAGAAACAGAGTGTAAATTAGCAGTCAAACTAAACATCCTTGTTAAAATAGCAATTGGATAGCAAACACTCAGAGCTCAGACATAAGGAATGTGTTATACTCACATAAGGTGTTCTCGAGCCAAACTTGCTCCAGAATGTCACTTGACATTTCCGCTTGTATCCTGTGCGCTGGTCAAATGACTGACACATGTCAAATGCTGGGATGTAGACATGAAGTGATGCAGCTGTGTCAGTATGGCTAACGTTCTCCACACGATGAAGACCTATGCTGTCTGTTACAAAAGAAAGGACAGAGTTTAAAGCCCTGGCCAAACTGAATCACAAATAGTTGTAAGTAGCCACAAGTTGAACTTGCGTTGCATGGCCAAACGGACTCGCACATTTCCTCACAAGTACATGCAAGTCACAAAAAACCCATTTCAATGCAAAAATACCCTGTATTTCATTGGCTAATAATAGGTTAATGTACGTCACTCAACTTGCGTGGACTTGGGTTGGGTGGCCAAACGGTGAAAAACTTGCATCGACTTGGATGCAAATTTGATCTTGACCAAAGTGAGCGCAAGTCATTGCAAGTCAACGCAAGTGCACACAAGGCCTACCCAAATGGAGTTGCAAGCAAATGCAAGTTGAGAACTTGTGTATACTTGCAACTTTGTTTGGCCAGGGCTTAAGTCACTTCCACATTTCCTTTTTCAGGGTCTGAAATTGTGACCAGCTGGTCAGCACTGCAGTCAAAACTTGAGTGTTGGTGACCAGAATTTCAAGGTTAGTTGCAGCCAGTGACTAACTTTTAGCATTTTGTCTAATGCTCAAGGAATTAATATCCTTTTAAATAAAAGAATTTCATGACTGGTTTCCACCAAGAAACTTATCACTTGTCTTATCAGTTGTAGTTTAAGTTTATTAAGTTAGGTCACAACATCTTGATCTTGCTAAATCCAATTTACAAATTACCCATTAAACAGTCACAAAAATAAACTTCCACAAAATTTTCCTCTTGCATGGTGTCCAATTTCAGTGTAATGGGCAGGTGCCAAATTTAGGGGGAAGATTTAATCACGGCGAATAATATTTTGCTTTTAAGCACGATGAGTGAAGGCTATTCATCAATGAGCAGACATATCATTGGTTTAGACATACCATTGATGTAGTTGACTTCATTAGTCTCATAAAATCTTGACGCTGTTGGTTCCAGAGGTTTCTCAGGCTCAGAGTCTGAGGGCCATGGATACTGTGTTTCTTTAAGTCTTCCATCTAGCACCTTCAGGAAGCAGTGGGCATCAGTGTGATCATGAATAGAACTATGGAAACAAAAAAGAAGCAAGTAAAGGATAAGAAAATATAATATAAAATACTTAAATCTACAGCATTCCTTACAAGGTTCAGCATTTTCAATTTTACAGAAGTGAGGTTTTAGCAAGGACCAAATTCATTATTTGGGAGAGACCTTTTTCATTTATGTCATGTACATGTGAATTGATTTATCATTATAATAACTATATATTTCCCAATAATGCAGGTTTTTCTAGTTAACATGTCAAGTCCTAGCAACAATTTTAGCAGAAAAAAACAATGTGATCAGAGGGGTTCAATATAGCAACAAGCTGCCAGCTGCAGCTAGCAAATTCTCCATCCAACCTGCCTAGTGATTTTCAAAATTAAATATTATATATACAACTCTGGGAAAATTCATCAGCAACAGCAACATCACTGGAACATGATAATACACTTCATGCAGTCACTGCAGTATCATGTGCGTGGCTTGGACCACATTGAAAAATTTTAAAGAAAAGCCTCTTTTCTGCAACAGATATCTTAGACGTACAAACCCATGATCTTGAAAACAAAGTGTAGTCATGGTTACATTTCAGCATGTTGAGTAATTTACCGCCTCAAACGCATACAGTAGCAATGTCCTTATCTGTAGTGTTCGGTGTGGTTTATTTGAAACAAATTCTTTTGGCAATCAGATTTCGTCAGCTTAATTTCGCTTTGTAACATGTTCCAAATCAGCAACTTCACCAGGTCACAATTAAATAATTTTATGCATTTGTGTTAGTTTATAAGTATTATTTTACTGTTTCTCTTATAGGAAACTACTATTTTGATTTATGGAAGAAATAAATTACATGCTAGGAAAACCGAAAGTAAAATATCAGGAACCCATTCATTTAGTAGTAGAACCCCATGAACTTGGAAACAAAACGTAGTCATGGTTGCATTTTAACATGCTGAGTAATTTACCCCCTGTAATGCATAGCATGTGGTCATTATGTCCTTATCTGCAGTGTTTGGTGTAGTTTGTTTGTAATACAGTAAAAACCAGCATATAAGAACCTGAAATTTAAGAGCCTGTTAAGTTAAAATTTCCCTCTTAAGCATCCTTCACTTCAGAACCATTCTAGGCTAAAATCTCACTACAGGTTCTTATTTAGCATTTTTTTCAAATATAATACAGTACATCAATCACATGCGACACAAAAAAGGGTAACAAAAATTAAAAACCTGATTAAGAACCTAAGTAGCCTAACTTCACAGTGAACACCATTTATATAAGAACTTATAGAGGTTAACTTGAAAAAACCTAGTAGGGTCTTATACACAGGTTTTTCCTGTGTTTCTTTTGGCAATCAGTCTAAGGTCAAGAGACACAACAACAGAAGAATGGTATAACAATGGTGCACAGTGGAAAGCCTATGAGGAACCCGATTGAAATCCACAAATCCCAGCTGACCATAATGCTACACAAAGTGTCAATCTCATCACCAGTAAGCACTCAAAAAGTCGTGATCTTAATCTCAGGTGACTACATGGTGAGACAAACAATAATACGGTAACCTTTCTATAACAAAAAAGCCATTTTAGCCCATGAAGTGAAGTCAAGTACAGGATTTCTAAAAACGCAGGTTTGATTGTATAGCGAAATAATACAATTCTGCCACAATGAAAAATCAATTAACGGGTGTTAAGCCTTAATATGTTATTATTAATTTCAATCAAATGGGTGAATCTGACTGGTAAACTGACACATTATTATTTATTTTACCTAGTTCTCATCATGCCCCGACATCTACCTCACAGCCAAATGTCAGCATTGTTCTGTGCGCAAATCAAAAGTTAGGACTATTGCAACAGCCCATTGTTATTTTGGTTAATGTAGACCATTGAAGTAATACCTTTTTTCTACACTGCGTTGTTTCAGTCTACATGTAGTTAAGAATCACTTTAGCGATAACTTTCAATTTGTGATACTGTACGTATTAATTTTCTTTCACGTTTCTAACAATCATTTTAGTAATATCTGATTAACAGGTGTTCACAGTTTGTTTGTCTAGCTTCATGTTTATGATGGCAATTACAAACTTTACAAACATGGCCTCGGATACCTGAGGCAACCCTCACAGTGAGTTACCCTGGCTGAGCTAATTTTTCACTCATTTCTTTGCAAAATTCAACCAATCATTTACATGAAGATCTCAAACCTATCTGGAGGGGTGAGACAACACGGGTGTCAACTTTTTCTTCATATAGACACTTTGGCTCGCCTAACCAGGACAACTCTCAGGGTGGTGAGTGTCATCATCATCAGTTATTGAGGTGCCAGTAGGCCTGCAGTGTCATACAATGCCTGAATTTAGGATTTAAAGCAGAAATTTGTACCAAAGAAGAGAAAATCAACCGGGCAAAACCCACTGTGATTGATTTAGCATGGAAAAATTAAGGAGACAGGGATATTTGCACATTTAACTATTCAATAAGGGTTGTGAATAATCATGCAGGGTCAACTTTGACGCGGCCTACAAGGACAACACTTTCCCATATAAATGCTCCATAAAGTTGACTCAGGGGGAGGGTTGTCTCAAGTACCAGAGACCATGTTATTGGGACCTGAATGGAGGCTCTCATCAATTCATGAAGCCAAAAAATACCATTTCGTGTCTGAGGAAATTAAACCTCTGGGATTTGGGCCTATGTTACCAGGAATTTAGTCAAATCTCCTCCAAATTAGATAACCAGCTTCTTGACATGGAAAAGGCTAACAATATTACACATAATACTTAGACATGTCTCGCAGAGGTTGAAAGATTAGCGATATTAATCAAGCGCGAAGGACATTAATTAACGTTCTTGTCATATAAGCCTGTGACTGTCTAGACAGTGCTCAACAATATCTGTGGAAGTTGCATCATTTCAGCTTTCCGTGAACTTCGCTAAATTGGGACCAATATGCTAGAGGTATAACTGATATAAACTGCCACAAACAGTAGAAAAGCCTTCTCTTTTTTTCAAATATAACAATATGAATCCATGAAACCCTTCAGGTTTATGATGGCCAAAACGTTGAACTTTTTCTTACCTCCCTTGGCCTTCTCCCCAACACAATACGATCAAGTTGAATTTTCCATTTCCTTCGTCTACTAAGTTTCTTGTGTACCTGCGACATTAGAAAAGGAACATTTAAAATAGTACAAAAACAGCTAATTATAACAATGTACTAAATACCATTAAATAATGGAAACAAAGTTACACAAACCGGTGAGGATCGTAGTTCGCGTATTTTGCCCAATCAGCCGGGTTTGATCGATATGACTCTAAAAACGAAATAACCTGCTCAACATTGACGCGGTCTTCTTCAAAAAGAACATGAAGACCTTTTACAACGTCCTCCATCGATTCAGGAGGCTCTAAACACCTTTTAGGCTCCATAACGAAGTGAAGTTTCCCACCTCTCACAAACTAGCCCGCCAACAAGGCAATTACTCACACGTGTGCGCGCGCAAAGATTTGTTACATGCCTGACGTCATAGTGTAACCTAGCAGGGGGCCCATCCTTCGACTTCGCCCCCAGGTGTAATATGAGAGCTCGCAATCAAGTTGAATGCAAGGCGAACATCTGCTAACTGCATCGAACTCCGATTCTATGGTCAAACCTTTTTTTTTCACATTATACTTTCATCATTTCTCAAGACATCCATAACATGTTTTGATGTTCGAGCTGTTGATATTCGAGGTGAGAATCGGAAATTTTCCGCTCTTTCCTTCGTACGGGAGTCTGAGGGCATTCTTCCCAAAAATGTTAAAAATATTTTAAAACAAAACAAAACAAAACAAAATGTCCTTGCCGTTTTTCTTCGATTTTGAGGGGCAATATGACCTTTTTCGAAGCCATGGATTTAGTAGTTTATCCACAGATCAGACCCTTTATTTTGCCTCCAGTTCGTCGAGGTAGCAAGCAAAACAATACAGATACAGGAACTGGGGTATTTTAATTTTCTACCTCGAAATGAAACGTTTTTGTACTTTGTTGGCAATTTTATCAGTCTCAAAGAGGAACTGTTTTGACAGCGCGTAGAATTGGATTCGATTGCGAAACTCCCAAGCTCGATGGGCTCAGCAATATTCACGCTTCTCCCTTTTCCTGGAAAATGGCGTTTCCGCGTCTGTCCTTTTGTTCCTTTACCTCGAATCTAAATCCAGGTGCCAAAACATTTTCCTGTTTCTAACTGGATTTTTTTTCTCTCTCGATAGCAGCTGATAGCAGCCGACTACAGTGCTGAAGTCGTGATCAGTCGAAACCGACGCAAGAGGAGACACATTTCTTTTCCACCCGTGAATTTCGATAAAATGTCTGTGTAACGAAAAGAAGCTCCTGCAACCTCACAAATGACTGCTCCTCTATCCGTTCAACTCCTTAGAACTTAAATTTTGAACTGGATTAAATAGATCTCGTCTTCGTATCGATATAATAAGCTCATTCTCCCGCATTCTCCACTTACCTTAGTAGCGGACTTTGTACCGAGTGCTTGTTATGTTACCATACTTGGTCCATATCAGTTGTTTTCAGCAAAAAGATGGTAAGACTTTCTATATACTTTTATGTTTTCATCGGGGCCAGTAATTGCCGCAGAAAAAGAAAATAAAATCATTGTAGACAAAATCTACCGCTGCAACATTGTCTGCGAAGGAAAATCCCGTGACTGGTGGATAGGATTCCATCATTCGTGAGGCGAACCTTTGTAGCCAGGCCAGGTAAAAA